CCCATAAAACCGCGCCTGATCTGCTTTCACCTTAATGGTGACGTGGCTAAAGTCAGCCAACGAGCGGGCCGACTTAGGGGAATCGTCCGAACAGTACGTCCGTTTTCTCGGATTAATTTAATTTGCCAAATTACGGAATCTCGGCGCCTGTGATACTTAGGGTAGGCCAACCCGCAGTACACGCATGCACTTTGAGGCAAGCTGTTGCCTACCTATCAGGCGCTATGAGAGCTTGGCGGTTTCGTAACGGGAGGATTCCTTATTGCACAACTTTCAGGAAAACTTTTCCGACAACTTGTAATCCAATTTAATGGATAGCCTTAAATATTTCGAGAAACACTTTTTAAAGAACTTCTTAAAGAACAAGTTGGAGAACCTTTTCTTGGACAACTTCTTGGACAACTTATTCTTGAAGAACTTCTTTGACAACTTCTTTGATGACTCACAGGACACCTTTTTTTCTGCGAGCAAATATAATGTTGGCCTAACCGGTGAAAACGCCACCCTTTACTTTCCAGCCTGGCGCCCATCGAGGGCTGGCCCGCGGTGCCCTCCGTCGGGGAGGTGCAGTCCTGGCCGGTGCTGCAGGTGGGGCCCGGGTCGCGGCGCCACGTCGAGCACGCCGACGGCAAGCGCCAGCCCTTCTGGGCCTCCGTGTACCGCGACCTGCGCTCCGCGTCCTCCACCATCTCGCGGAGCTGAAGGAAGCCCGACCGTGAAGGGAACTACCCCCCCCCCACCTAAAAGTGACTTCTTAGGTTTCAAGCAAAAGTGGTAATTTCCCAGCACTTTCAGCACTTTTCCCTTCTTGAAAATGACTAGTTTTGCTTGAAAACCAAAGCAGTCACTTTTAGCGTGCACACCCCCACCCGCCCCGAAGCCAATACCTGATTCCTCATTGCCCCGCCGCAACTTCTGACGCGTAATCAAGACAAGCCGCCTGTCTGCCCGGTCCGGCCCGGCCCAGCCCGGCACTCAAAAAAGTCTCGTAAGAAACTTTAGCTCCGGCTTTTCCATTCTATTTCAAATTATTCTCCTTGTGATTACTTTTTCCCTGACTCGGGAGTGGGGACAGGGAATGGTGAGGAAGAGGGGCGATTTTTTTTTCGAGTCCACGAAAGGGAGACTTCGAAATGCGGCGGTTGCTGCTGCTGCTGCTGCTGCTGAACACACAGACCAACTTCCGACGTTGGTCAGTCAGAGCCGTTCCACCCCGCGACCACCAGAACTGCGTTGGGGAGGGAGAAGGGGGTTGGGGAGTGGAGGTTGCACAAAATTAAATCTGGGATGTTCCCGGAAGCGACGAGATTGTTTCCCGGCTCCAGGTCGTTTGAGATCTCTGTGTCATAATGCAATAAAAAGACCGCATAGTTGCCCCGGGCTGCAGCGATGCGATGCAGTCCAAAGCATCTGTACTTTGTCGAGCGCTGGATTGGACGACCACCACTCTGCATCCTTGCCTTTCCAACTGAAACAGTGCATCCGATATTTATTTTAAACCTTTTGAACGACTTTCATCGTACTATCGTCTGGCAAGCAAATGGATATTCCAAAATTATCAGCCATAGAGCGACAATTGCAAGCGTCGCTCTTTCAGAAGAAATTGTTAATGTAAATCAAGCCCTTTTGTCTGGGCTGGGATTACCACAATAAATACCATGCTCGTTTTAAAAATGGGAACAGGCGTACACGAGGGGGCAATAACTCCGGGAATCATGTGTACACCTGTCTGGGAATCATCGGGTTAAAAATTGATCAAAATCAATAGAAATCGCTTAGAATAAGCGGGAAACTAGAGAAATAAGTACAAATCAGTCGAAATAAGCGTTTTATACCACCAAAACCCCCCGAAAAACCTATGTAATAATTATAAGCGGACGGGAATCACCGGGAATCAAGAATTTCGGGAATCATGTGTGCACTTCAAAAGGGAGTTATTGCCCCCTCGGGCGTACAGAAAACATGTGTCCACACTAAATGTATTAATTTGTAAATTTTTGAGCAAATGTTCGTTCGTGCTAAGTTAAACCAACGTTTTGTTTTGGACAAATTTATATGTGTCTAAATCAACGCAGGAATGTGTGCAAAAACTTACAGCATAAATTCGTAGAAATTAAAAATACAAACCAGTTAGTGTGTACGGGCACTGTCAAATGTGCACAACAATGAACATCAGAAGGCTTGCAACAGTTAGCGATAGCTAGATGGTTCTATTCGTTGTTTGAGTAATAAAATACTACTGAAGTAACACAAGCATTCACACACGAAACTACAGAAGTAAATAATAAGCAGAACGGCTGTTGAAAATGGAATTTAGGTTACTTTTCTGCCATTTCTTTGCATAGTTCTAGCTTTGATTCATCTCCCTTTGTCCGTTTTCAAACTGGCGGAATACGACCCCCGGTCCACACGACGCACACAACTTTGAGTACAAGGCACGGAAAGGCACCTCACAGTCGCCGCGCAGGCAAACCCGGCCCTCGCCGCCCAGCAGCGCACTGCAGCGCACCGCCTCCGAACCGCGCCGTCCCGAGCTCTCGATAAATTGTGCTGCAGGGGAAACATAATAATACTATGGAACGAACTGGCGGGCGCTGTGTGTTTTGGAGAGCTCGGCCCCGCCCCGCCGTGCCCTGCCACCGTTGCTGCCGGCCCGCCAGCTGCCAGCGCAGCGCCTGCGTGTGAAGAGAGGAGGCAGGGCAGGGTCTGCAGGAGGCTGCCTCCCAGAAGGAGAGAGGCACACTGCGTGCTGCGCGCGTGTGTGTTGTGCTGTGTGTGTGTTTGTGTACGGCATGGAGGGGGAGAAGAAGGGAAAACAAAACAGAGCAGGGCATAAGGGAGAATTAGAGGGGGTAAGAGGGGGAGGTGAGCGACGCAACAACTAATAAAAAAAGAAATGCTGGTAAAATGAAATTACACAACATAACATACACGTACACAGGCGGGAGGGGCTTGGCGTGGGGGAGAAGGGGGACCGGGT